AGCAAGTGTTTCAGTGCCGTGGCGTAAAAACTAAGGCACTAGCGAAGTCTCTGGGTGCGGGAAGGACCCATTGGCCGGCGCTGTGGCTTCCTCATCGATGGTCGCTACCTACCGTTTCCAAACTAAGGATGGGTATGGAACAGTAGGGCTCAGCTGAGGCTGAGCCTGCTGCCTTTTTGAGGCAGGAAAATGTCTTTCTGCTTGTGCCTGTGCTGCTGCGGGGAGGCAGAAGGAGGGCACGGCATGCTGTGCCTGGTCAGGCTGCCCCTGCCATGTGTGATGTGCTCAGGGCAGTGCTGCAACCTCCTAAATACCCCGAGGAAATGATCCGGAGCTGGATGGACCACAGAGAGCCTCTGGATTCTGGCTTTGCTTCCCCACATAGTTTCAAAAGAGTTTCTGGGGTGAGAAGGCTCTGGGTGAGCCCGGGTGTCTCTGCGCAGACGAATGGCATCATTCATGCTTGGGCTGATCCGCTGGGACACGCACAGATCTCCTCTGGAAAGAGGCATGGCCAGATCCTGGCACTTGTTGTGGTGTCTTTCTGCTGTTGCAACAGTGCAAAGAAGCTTTCAGGGCAGCTGGACCAGCCAGAGGGTCAGAAGGTGCTCCAAGTGAATTAAAGGTTGGTTGTTCGTAATATTCACCTGATATGTCCAATACAAAATCCGTGGTCTGTACCTCATGAGCAAGCTCATCGTGAGGCATTAATAACCCAACCGCAGGCCCTGTTATTTACATTCGATTGAAGATGTAGGTCATACGATATGGATTTTCTCTTTCCTAATCAGCTGAGCATAAAAGGCAGAATCCAATTTTCAGTGGCAGTAGACCTGATTACAAATTCAAATTTTTATTTCTCTGAGCAGTTTTGTGACATTTGCATTGTAATTTGCTGTTTCCATAAATATTAGAGCTTCATTTGCTGGGATATTCATCCAGAGCAGATGCAAGAGGGCTACAAGCACAGGCTCAGTGAAAGAATGAGGTCTGTGGATGCCTATCAGGAGAAAATGGTTTTGTCACATATGGCCGCCCTTCCATCTCACCCTTTTCTGCATACATACAGCTGATGTGCGTACACCCATTGCTATATATTTTTAATGCCCAGGTGTTGTAGCATAACATGGCGCTGCTTCAGCAAGGGGCACCGTTCACTTACAGCTCTTTGATTATGCAGAGAGTCCGTATTCATCCTTTCAGGCTGAAATCATTCGCGTCCGAGGACAAGGAGAGAACTTTCCCACCCAAAAGGGAAATGATGTTGCGTTACTGAGCGACCAGCCCAAGTAATAATATAATCTTAGAAAAATGCAGTTCCCTCGAGTAAAGGAAGCTCTGTAAACTTCAGCTTCTCCAAGCTGTTAGCGTAGCTGTTGCCTGTGTTATAGTAACGCTGCTGTCAGACCCAGTCTACTGAAGTGCTCAGGAGAACACTGGGGAAAAAGGGAGTAAGATCCAGTTCCTGCTTAAAATGAGGACCTCTTGTAGGATCTGAATACTGTGAAGTTTATAATGCTGATTTTAGGATCTTGGGTCACATCCTTTCTTTGCTGTTAATTTGTTTTTTTAACTCAGCTGGGTGCTGGACGTGGTGACAGTCACCCCTGGTCTTGAAGAGCTTGGAGAAGGGGCAGGCAGAGCCAGGGTGAGCAGAGGGATCAGCTGGAGGAAGGTGAAACAACTACAAGGTTTCTACTAACTGGGGTGCAGGGGTCAAAAGTCTGGTTGTGTAAAACTAGGGGAGAAAACGGCTCATTTTTAGAGCTGTCAGTGTTTAGGCAAACCCATGCAAGGGAGAAAGAAACGGGATAAAGATACTCTGTGAGCCGTACCCGTGGTTTGCTCTCTTCTGCTCACCACGGGGTGGGTGGCATTAGCCTGTGCTGTGGTTTATTTTGGGTTCTGTGGGTGCCGAGCGTGTACGGGTCCCAAGGCCAGGGCATGAACTGAACTACAGCAACCCTCCTTGGTGTGGGTGCAGCAGCTCCCCAAGCCAGACACTCACTGGATTCTTCTCGAGCAAAGTGTCCACTTCCATGAAACCTGTAGGAACTTGCTGTCCTGGAGGTCTCTGCCTTCCAGGCTAATTTGTTTCAGTGTACTGTGGGAGATGGATGATAGAAAGACAAGACTATACAGTCTCAGGAGCTTCAGAAACCAGTATAAAATACATGAGATTAAAAAATATCTTTTCAAAAGTGCCTGAAATACAAAAAAACAACCTATTTCCTATGAGCAGGGTGCTTACAGGAAATATCCTACAAGCTGTAGCTGCTCCCGTGCTGCTGTCCCGGTTGCCCCCGTGGCTTTGGATGAAGGTATTCCCCGTTGCCTGTCCTCCGCACAGGCAGGGCTGTTGAGGAGGGTTGTATCTGCTTCTGCATCTGATGTCCCCTTGACTTTGAATCATTTGATAAATAGTTTTGCAGTTGGTTATTTAAGCATCTCCTGAGCTGCAGTCAGCATCTCAGCTGTGGGCGAGGGAGTGCTGCTGCCAAAAGTCAGGATCTGTGTTGAGAGCCTCCTAAGATTTGGCTGGCTTTCCTTAAAACCCCAACTCCTGGAGTTGTCGTTACAGGAGAATCGCTCAAAGAGGGAGAAAAAGAGCTTCTGGCTGTTGAGGTGGTAGATAAAAAACCCCCAGAAAACGTGAGCTGCAAATCCGGGAAACACACAAGAACTCCAGGTTGGCTGTATTTAAAAATACCACTAGTTCAAAGCTCATCTCCAGAGGCTTTTGAGTCCAGACGGAGTGGCCGTTTCAGACACTCCTGCCTGGCAGGGCTCTGCCCGTGTGTCTGCAGGAGAAGCGCAACCCTCTTAGGAGTTTTGCTCTGCTAGGAAAAGAGAGGGCGCACAAAGAAGCGTTGGGCAACGCAGCAGGAAAATTGGGTGCAAACCCAGTTGTTTCCTGCCCAGCTGTCTGAATACCTTGTGCAAGTGCCTCGGCCTTGGCAGATTGACTCTCCGCTGGGAGAAGCATTGTCGTCTGCCTTGTCGTTCTTCGCAAGGACATGAAGCTAGGAGGACTTTTAAAACTGCCTTCGCAGCATCCCAGTTCTGGTCTGGTTGGTTTAAGCTGTTTGAGGGTGACTCTGTCACTCGCGATGTGACCAGATGCTGCAGGTCCTTCCCGTGGCCCACCTGTGTGAGCAGCCCGTCGCGGGGTCCCAAGTCAGCGCTTGCAAAAAGTCCTCTGGAAATGCTGTGACCTTTGCAGTTCTTTCACCAAGGCATACATGCAGATGTCTGGGGGACCTTTTGCACAGTGGTTAGATGGCAACAAGGATCTTGCAGCTGAAGTTTGGGAGAAAATATCCTTTTGTTTTTAGCCCTGAGCTAATTTAGCTCTGGGATGAAATCGGCTGGGAAAGGACTGAGGAGGAATCTTAAATGGTCTGATAGATGAAGGGTTAACTGGGCAGGGTTAATGGTTTTCCCAGAGGTGCAGCCCAGGCTGCATCTCCCAGAGGACATTGTGTTGCACACAGACATTCAGGGCGTTTTTCTCAGCATTTTTCAGCATGGTGTTTAAAGAGGTTTTAAAGGCCGTTACAGGAATCAGTCTGACCTCTTGCCTCTTTAATGAGGCGGACATCGTTGTCATTTCTGCTACCAGAACCACCCTCAGATTCCCTCAGGGATCTCCAGACCGTGGAATAAACTCTGTGCAGGAGTTTTGGACTGACAGACAGGCTCCTTCGGGTTGCCAGTAGCGAAGGAGCGCTTTTTTTTTTTTCCTGAAGAGCATGCTAAAAGGCACTTCTGCATCTGGAGTGACAAGAGGAATTTGGATCTATAGAGCACAATTATTCACGTCACCGCTTGTTAGGATGCTGGCGTTAACACCCTTCCTCTGGTGGAAAATCTCTTAAGCCCCGAGGACCAGCGTGAAATGTCATGCTCTGTTGAACTTCACTGAGCGGAGATGAATCACACTAAATTGAAGATTTGGCTTCAATATGTTATTGGAAAGATATCTTCTGTGATAGCCTAGCAGCAGGGTACTGCCGCCCACCCAGGGTGGCAGGACCTTTCTTGGGGGAATGAGTATGCGTAAGTTGAGGGGTGGAGGTTGGAGTTTGGGTATTTGAAGGGGTTTTGGTTTGGTTTTTGGTTTTTGACCACTCCATAAAAGCCAAAGGCAGGTCTGGAAGGGATCTTGAGCTAGCTCCCAAGGGATCTCAAGACGTCTCCCCTTGCAAGATGACCCCAGAAGATGTTTATCTAGCATGTTTTTAAAAATTTACTCCAGAGAAAGGTTTCACAGCTTCTCTGAATACCTGTCCTGCTACATCCGTGCCATTATAGGTAAGAAAACACTTTCTTATCAGAGAAACTGTAGCAGCTGGTAGTTAAACCTTCTGCAAAGAAAGATATCCTATACAAGTGGTGACTCAGTGTAACTTGTAAGATCTCATGAACTGACAAGTTAAGGTAATTTAGCAATCTGGGGAGGTAACACAAGAGGTAACCCAGTGCATTGAACTAATTTCTGCCCCTGTGATGGGAATGAATTTCCAGGAGTGGAAACATCAGCAAGCCAACTGCGCATGATTTGCTTTCCTTGTCAACTGGAATCAAGGACCCTGATTGTGGAGCATAATACTGCCCTTGTAATTCAGACTTTATCTTTGTGCTGGAGCTGGGCATAATTGTATCTGTGTCTGGAGGGACAAGGAGAAGGGTTTCGGTAGCTGGTGCTCACAAAGGCATCTTTAGAAAGCTCCTTACCCCTGGTACAAGCTTGGAAGAGCTCAAATGAAAATACCCCTGAGTAGCTTTAGGCATTTGAACAGTCGTCATTGTTTGATTCGGATTCTGTTACCGGACTAACATCTAAATGTTAATTCTTTTTAGGGCATTGTCAGCTCTTTCAGAAAATACAGAATGGGGCTGCAGTATTAGACTGGCAGCCAACCCTGCAGATAAAAGCCCTTTGAAAGGATGTTTATTAGGAGGGAAACTTGATCAGAGAGTGCAAAATAATCGTGAGGATGGTCTTTTCAGAGGGACGTGGAGCAAATATGATGCATGAAGAAAGCCAAATGAGGACCCAAGAGGCTTCTAACCTGGGGAATGGGAGCACCAGCAATTTCATGGGCCCTGAGAATGGTCCATGCTGTGCAGACAGAGATCCTCCTAGGCCTGTCCTGCAGATTGCTGGTATGCCTGGAGATCGTACGGTGCTGGGTAAGCTGCGTCACATGCTGAGTTAAGACCCAAGTTGATGGTCACTTGATGGCAAGAGCGTGCCAAGGCAGTGGGGGTACGGTGGCTCTCTGCTGGGTAATATGGGTCAGTGTGTGGGCAGATGGGGTTTGGGTGCAGATTTCTGGCCTCTTGATCCTCTGCATTGCCTCTGCTCGGCACACAGTGCCCGTATGCACCAAGGTGGGCTGTGACCTGACCCTGACTCCTGTGAGTCCTCAGTGACAGCTCAGAGGGTGACAACCCCATCCTGCCCTTCTCCATCACCCCTTTCCACTGCTGGTGGCAGGGCTGGGTCACAGGGCTGCCTGCTGCAGAGACCCGCATGCAGCCAAATGAAGGTGTCTTGTTTTCAACCTCCCCAAAACACGTGCAGAAAGGCACTGGACATGGTAAATCTCTTCCCCTCCGGTTCTCAGAAAGGAAACGTGTGACTGCAGAGGCAGAGCGGTGGGGGACAGCGGGAGAGACACACACTCCAGCCACCCCGGGGCACGCTGCTCCTCCACGGTGGCAGTGGTGACCGGCCGATGGGTGCCAGCGGGGAAGGACCTGGCTCATCCCCTGGAAGAAGGAGGTCCGGCGCCATCCTGAGCTCTCCCACCGCTGCTTCCGGCGGCAGATCGGTGCGGTGTCATCTAGGAAATGCGATTTAGATCATCATCCTTTCGCAGCAGATGGGGGAAGGGAAGTGGGGGCCCTTATCTCTTCTGGGGATTAATTTCTCTTTAAGCTGCTTTATTTTTTTGCCTGTTTGCTTTTTTCTCCATCCCCTTCCAAGTCTCACCGTCCCTTGCTGGAAGAGCAGGAGCCATGAGAGCATCTGCGGTTCCCACTGCCACAAGACCCTTCCCTGCAACTCACCTTCAGCTGGGGGGCGAGAGCTGGGCGTAAGGCTTGGGCTGCCATCAGTTTTCCCCTGGGATGGGGTTTGATTTTGCTAGTCTACATGGAGGGAAGAATCCAGTGAGCCTTCTATCTGTGTGTCACCAAAATGCATCCACCCCTTGGTGGCTTTCTGATCCTCCTGCATCTGAGAGGGCCCTTCATCCTTCTTGTCCCCACCACGTCCTTGAGAAGTTGCTCAGTTCCCAGGTTGGTCATCATCCCTGGTGTGGCCACTGGCCAGCAAAGCTCTTTGGCTCATGCTTAGCATTAAGCACAGAGAACAGTTCCCTGGGGAGCTCTTCTTAAGTGCATTGCTGGAGTGAGGCTCTGGTCAGGGCACCTGGACCAAAGCCCGCCCTGCAGTGGTGGGCAGCATCACTCAGCTCCTGGAAGCGCATGGCAGCCCCTGGCTGCTCCCAACATGGCCTCTTGGCATGGCAGCGCCCCTTTTCCTACTCCCTCCTCCATCTTCCCGGTATTTATTGTCCCCTCTTGGCTGTGGAAAGCAGCTCCTGGGCTCAGACCACTTCAGAGCAGGAACCTGTGGTTTTGTTTCCAGAGCCTGACGTGAAAATACCACCTTGTTTTCTCCTGGGTCTGCAGGACCTCAGCTCCTGGAACGGATGGCTCCTGCCCCGCATATGCTTCACACGGCCAGGGATCGCTTTTTGATGCATGTTGAGGTTTTGTGCAGAAAAAGCTGTGCTTCAGCCCATAGTTCTCGTGGTTTTAAGCACAATCCCAAATAATCACAAATACCAATAGGTTGGGGGTTTTTCCCTGCAAGATCCGTTTAAGTCAAATACAAATCACTGAGCTTATATCGGGAGTAAATAAGCTACACGGAATGACTTTGGTTATAGATGAGGTCAGACAGAATGAGCTAATGCTCCCTTCTGACCTTGAAATTAAACTTTTCAGAAAGTGAAATTTCATCCTGCAGCTTCTAAGCTGCGAGCACCTTTCCTTACGGAGGAGCTCGAGCCCCAGCGCTGCACAGCGCTCTGCACCTCGCGTGGCTGCTCACCCCCTTATTGCCAAAATAGATCCCTGCTTGGAGGCAGCATTCTTATATTAGCTGGTTTAAATGAACGCAGGCAGCTGCTGGGGGTGTGTGATGGTGTGAGAAAGTCATATGATTGATCGCGATGCCCTGGTTAACATGCAAAGGGTAATTAACCTCTCCCTAGCAGCAGTGGAGCAGTGGGCTAGCTTCCCTGGACATATTGCCCCGAGTGAGATTTTTTACCCGTTGCAAACATTGCCGACAAATTCCAGGTTTCTGGAATTATTCATGTGAGAGCTCTGGAGAAAGGTCCGTGTTAGAAATTGTCGCGTGCGTACAAAAGCCAGCAGCGGCATCATCTTGCTCTCTCCAGCCCTGTTTCTTTCCACTTAACCAGCACTGTACGCACTGCCATGGCTTTTTTTTCCCTTTTTTTCCCCCCCTCCTCTTTCTTTTTTGCAGCCAGGATGTTTTTTCTTGCCTTTTTATTGTTCCAGTGACCTAGCAACTCCACTTCGGTGGAGCCCTGCCAGGAGACTTCCTCCCCGAGCCGTCCGACAGTCTCCAGCAGCACTGCCCTCGGATGGGAGCACAAGTTAAAATGACACCGGGCTGCGTCCCGTCACGGCTTTTGCTCTGCCTTCACGAGTGCCGCTGAGGGTACCACTGCCTTCCCGCCGATTTAAGCTTCCAGGGGACGTTAAAAACCCTGGAAAGAGGAAGGAGAAGTGCTGCATGGGTGATGTTTTCTGTAACGTTTCTGCAGGACGTTAAAAGAAAAGCCCGGAGGGTTTTAGAAGTGAATTAGGTGGTGCTGGGATTTAGCATTTGGGATCCGCGGTGCAGGCAGGGTGTCCGGAGACATTTCGGCACTGCAGGGCGGTGGGAGAGGGGACGGAGAGGAGGTGCGAGTGCTCAGCGAGCCGTGCCATTTGGGACATTTCTTTTGGCTTACTTTTATTAATGTTTACTGAAAACGGTGAGAAATAAATCCCTTTGGTAAGTGCTCCTGGACCCGTCCACTGGCAGCAGGGCAGAGCTGCCTTCGCACCCCCTGGGGCTGCAGGGGCTTCTGCGTTAGCGCTGGGAGGCAATGCTGGATGGGACGCTTCGGAGGTAGAAAATAAACGAGCTGGCAAGTAAGTGAACACAGCTATTTTGGGCTTTCTGCTCAGGAAAGGCAGCAGGGACACAGGTCGCAGGGCCTCTCTGGGGCTGGAGGCTTAGTCCCCTCTTCACTGGCTGGCTGGATTGGGATTTTACTGGAGCCTTGGCATGGTTATGGGTTTTTTGGGGAGTATGAGTAGTCATGAGACTTATCCCTGTTGGAAGTGGACTTGTATTTGAAAGTGTTTTCCAAAGACTTGACTATAAAATAAGACTTTTTTTTTTTTTTTTTAAAATTCAGTTGCCAACAGCTATTTAAAAACAAAAACTCATGAAAAGAGGTTTAAGGCGCTGATCTGAGCCCTGGACCAGTGGTTTCCAGGCAGCGTGGGTCCATGTGGTCCCAGGGATCTGGGGATTGAACCCAAACTGTCCAAGAAAGATGAGTAAGAAGCTCAGGGTTTCATAGGCTTGAGCCGGTGATCCAGGAGCCTGCACCTCCCCAGGGAAATGTTTAGGACACCAGAATTAAGAGGGTGGAAACCACTGGATTAGCAGGACAATATCCTGTCCCTGCACTGTGCAGATTTTATCCCCGGTTGCAGGCGGGCTGTATGCATACATCCCACGCTTTTGGAAATGACCACAGGTTTCCGTGTGCTCTTTGTTGTGGAGTACCTGTTTCTCTGCTTTAGGGTACTGCTCTTAAGACCAATAATTGGATCCTTTTTTTCCTTATGGCATCTCTGAGCATCAGGCTCTAGGATCATTAAAAAAAGGGTAGGAAGTAAAAATGGCCTTAAGCATCCTCCGTGGTTTTGCAGGTCCTGGCAGGGGGAGGTGGTGTGGAAGTGCGGTGTGTTTTTCTCTCATAAAGCAACACTGCAAGCAAAGTGCCATGACCTGGCATAGGAGATGCTGGGGACGATGCTGATGTCACCCATCACACGTAGCAGCCTGGTAGGCATTAACCACCTGGACCTTAGCGCTCAGAGCTTGCAGGGGCTGTGGCTGGCATTAAGCCCCCAGCACCTTTCTCGAGCTGACATGTTAAAGCTCCAGTCACCTTTGGTGGCTGGATAAATCCTTTGTATTACGGTTTAAATGATTTAAAGTCCTGCGAATTGCCATCCTGCTTTGCCTGGGACCCCGGTAGATAGAGGATGAGGAGCATGAGGACCAGAGCAAGGCGCTGCGAGGGGATGCATCTGTAGTGTACCCCATCCAAACTGAGCCCCGCAGCAGGGTGGGAGGTGCTGGAAGGGCTCCTGCACCTCTTCTTTTCCCCGTCCACCCTCTCCTGCCACCTTTCGTCATCCAGCCTGAATAATTCCTTTCATTAATATCGAAAGAATTAGCAAAAAAGGGTTGACCGCATGTGGTTAAAAACCTCTCACATTCTTCCCGTGCTTAGTGCACACGAGGGACCTTCCCCAAGCAATATTATCAGCGTGTTTACGCTCCACTGACCCGTCTCAAGCACGGAATTTTTTTTTAAGCTCCATTTCAGCCTCCCTCCCCCCC